TCCTCGTTCGCCATCCACATCCTCCTCGTATGCTCTCGTCCTCGCTCACTCTTGTCCTCCTCGTCTTCTCCGGTTCCTCCCCTCGTCCTCCTCTTCTCCTCCTCCTCCCCATCGAGGATCCCGATGAGCTTCCCACATGGAGTGCGGCGCTGGTTGCCGTGACCCATCCGGGGGTCGATGCTCGTGCGTCGTCTGAGCGCATCGCAGGGAGGGGGCATGCCTGCAACTTGTTTCGGATCCACCGTCAGGCAGGTCCCTCGATACACGGTCGCTGCCGGCGCCTCGAGGCTTCCGGTTAAGACGCCACATGCAGTTGAATTCAGCCTTGCCCCCATTCGCTATCCCCCCCAGATTGTCAAGCAGCATCCGCAGGTACCACCGCCACAAGCTCAAGTTCAAGCGGGTGCTGGCTGATGTGGGGAGCTTATTCGCTTTTGTGCCACACGGGGCCTCGTTCATCCCGCCTCCTGTGCTTCGCGTTCGGGAGTGCCCACTCCGAGTCCTTCAGCAATGCCGCGTTCTCTTCGCCACTGCGCCTCAGCATTTGCGGACGGCCCAGGACACTCAGTCTCTGCAGGACGAAGAAGAGGAGTTCTGTCGGCGGTGAAGAGTATTCGTCGCCCAGCACGCCGACAGCTTGCTTTGGCACATCAGGCCCCGTTCCGAGGACTGAAAAGAAAGGAGGAGGAGGAGAAGGAGCGTGGAGCGAGGAAGAGGAGGAGGAGGGGGAGGAGGAAGGAGGAGAAGGAGGAGGAGGAGGAGGAGGAGAGCAACAGGAGCAGGAGGACGGTCCGGGCGAGGAATGCGTGTATATGCGCCCCGCGCGTGTGAGAACATGTGCGTGCCTGGGGCTGCATCGGTTTCAGCATTCTGAACGCGTACTTGGTACTCCAGGTTCGCGTCGTGTCGACCAGCGGCGACCCCGCCGCCGGCGTTCAACGTTGGACGCTGCCGCCGACCCAGAACCGGTCGACGTTGAACGATCGTGTTCGAGGTTGAGCGATCCCTGCGGTGTCGGGAGCCAGCGCCGACGGCGGCCACGGCACGAACCTGCCGCACCCGGTCTGCTGAGAGCGTGCTTGCTGGAAGCTCTTTGGCCACGCACGGCGTGCGAGACGCGCTCCGCGGGGTGGCCGCCTGACGGCGCACGTGGCGCCAGCACGGCGCCCGGGCGCGCCCTGACGGGGCAGCATGCCGCTGCCACGCCCGCTCGCCAGACGCGGAGGCGCTCGGCGTGGAGCTCCTCCACGCGGGCCAGGCCCTGACAGACGGTCCTCCCTCACGCCGAGGCGGGGGGGCAGACAGGGGTACGACTTCGGAGCTGACTGGGGGGCCGAGGTGGCCCAGCGCTGGTTCCGGCCAGCAGAGCGGGGGGAGAGAGCTGGTCCCTCGTCGCCACGGTTGGACGCGGCCCGAAAAAACACGTCAGTTTCGACCCTTGAAGGGTCTGGGGGCAGATTTAGAACGAATGTCTTCATCTCTCAGCAGGGAAAACAGCTCACAGACAACATAAATCGTCGACTCTAAGGGAAAATCTGGGAAACATGGGAAGTGGGGGGAAGGCGACAATCCAGAAAGTAGACATGAGTTGTGCTTATTGTTTGATGTGTCTCTGGGCCACTTTAATATGTCCCTCTCTTGAGCGATTCTCTCGAGTCTCGTCCAACTCAGGCCTCCCGACCGCCTCCAAGCACGACTGTCCCTTGCGTGGGCCATACATCCATCGCCCGCGAGGGGATGGATCAGCTGTTCCTCCTCCTCCTCCGCCTCCTTCTCCTCCTCCCTTCTCCCCATCCTCCTCCTCCTCTTCCTCGCTCCACGCTCCTTTTCTTCCTCCTCCTCCTCGCTCCACTCTCTTCCTCCTCCTCCTTCTCCTCCTCCCACTCCTCCCTCCTCCCCGTCCTCCTCCGATCTCCGACGATGTTGCGTTTTGTTGTACAATCCCAGCGTTGTTGTTGGTTCTCGATTTCGGCCTCCAGGGGCCCTCATCGGGTCCCACCCTAGGGAAGTGGTCGGGACCTTCGGCACCGCGCGTTGGAACAATCAGGTCGTCGGATGCCGCCGTCCTGAGTGGCCTACTGATGCGCCTGGCTTTTATTGCAAGGCGATTTCCTTACCCGCTGCAACCCTTCAGGGGCCCTGGCAGCTGCTCGCATGAGGGTTCCGTTCCGTCCTGCTGGTCCGTTCATTCCCTTGTGCCCTGCACAGGGTAGGCAAATGTCTCGGCGTCAAATGGCCTTCTGCGGTCTCGGTGTCTGCGGTCTCGGTGTCTGCACTGGGTCTGCGGTCTCGGTGTCAAATGTGCCTTCTGGTCAGGCGCGGCCGCCCTGGGCGCCCCCGAGACTGAAACTGCCCCTGGGCCGCCGAGGGGGCCCTCTACCTCGATAGGGTCGCGGCTTCCCTCGTGCCTGACCTAGGGCTGTTTGACGTCTCTCGGTTGTTTTCATCCTTGCTCGCCTGTCGCCTGCTCGCATGGCGCTGGATCCAACGCATGACAACTGATCCAGGGCCTGCTCGCTGGCGTGTAACGCAAGACGCAGCAGGACTTGCGCCACGCGAGCAGTCCGATAGGTACCACACGTGGTCGTCAGCGTTCGCGTGAGGGCGACGGTACAAACAGCAGACTTCTTGGGGTGGGGGGTCTCTAAGTGCGCATGCATGTTATGTCATGTTGTTCCTGCTATGTTTCCTTTGCCCGCCGGTCGTTGAAAGTAGGTGCGTTTAGATCTTTCGGATCCCAATCTACTTTAACCACCGTCCCGCTTCCATGAACGAGTGGGTTCACCCTCGTCCTCCTCGAGAGAGTGACTTCACCTTTTTTCCTCGTTGTTATCCTGCTTCTCCTACGTAAGCCGTCTGCTTATCCAAAACCTTTTTCTCCTGCTTCTCCTGCCTCTCCAAAGCATTTTCCTCCTGCCTCTCCAAAACCTTTTTCTCCTGCTTCTCCAATGCCTTCCTGCTTCATGCTTCTGCCCTCTTCTTCCGACGGGCGTGTAGTAAAATCACCGGCGCTCATCACCCTCAGGGGCAACGATCGCGGTGGGGGGATAGGCACAATCAGGGGGGGAGGCATCGGCACCCCAATTCGCCCACTGGTCGCCGATAGAGGAGGAGGAGGAGGAGGAGGAGGAGGAGGAGGAGGAGGAGGAGGCGGAGGAGGAGGAGGCGGAAGAGGAGGAGGAGGAGGAGGCGAGGAGGAGGAGGAGGAGGAGGCGGAGGAGGAGGGGGCGGAAGAGGAGGAAGAGGAGGCGAGGAGGAGGAGGAGGCGGAGGAGGAGGCGGAGGAGGAGGCTGTGGAGGAAGAGGGGAGGCGGAGGACGAGGAGGAGGCGGAGGACGAGTAGGAGGAGGAGGAGGACGGGGAGGCGGAGGAGAAGGGCCCGATAGGCCCAACCTGCCCAGGAACGTGCGGATTCCCTGTCGGGGCCTATCGCCGATCTCTCGGCGAGGTATCGCCGATTCTGGGTCGATGTGTCCCCCTATTGCAGCCCCCCCCTATCGTTGCCCCCCATCCCCGTCCCCAGTTCTCCGCCTTGCCCGCGGTTCGGATCCGATCCGATTCGTGACCTCGGGAAGTGCTGCACCACGGCCAACCTCGCGCCTGAGAGACGTGAGATACTCGATCGTACTCGATCGTTGACCCAGGGCCCGCACCAAAAAGCAATAGATGTCCTGGTGTCTCAGGGTTGGTTTTCTTGTGGAAGGTGTCTTGCGGATTGGCCCCTACTGTGGGTATTTGTGGATGCCCAGGTCCCAATCTAAGCCCAAGGATTTTTCGTTTTGGTCCCCCCACCCCTTATTCACGCGGCGGTGAGTAGGGCTGGTCCTAAAACTTCCTCCTTCTCCTCCTCCTCGTCCTCCTCCTTCCCCCTCTTCCCCTCCTTCTCTTCCTCCTCCTCCTGCTCCTCCTCCTCCTCGTCCTACCCCCTTGCCCTTTGTTGTGCCTCGGGTGCCGCGGAACAAAATACTTTTGGGACCCCAGTTGTTCAATAATTTCGCCAGGACAATAATCAGTTACCTCATACAAACCGGTGTCTGAAGACCCTTCGCGATCATGTTAGTCGCCTTCCCTTTTCAAAAGTCGAGCGGTGTTTTCTCTTCCCTCCTCTTCAGGGGAGCGGGCGGAGACCCAATCTGCTTACAGCGCCTTCCTGCTTCATGTTTCTGCCCGCTCCTTCCCACCGACGCGTGAGGGTGAGACTGGATTCGATGGGTTTGTCAGGGGCCGCATCCTGGTGCGAGATGCCCTGTGCTGCCCCGCATCTCTCCTGTTGGTTGCCCGCGTAAGCTTGCGCCCAGCACGCTTGCAGGATCTCCACGGCCTGGGGGTGGCTCCGCCGCCCGCTCCCCCACCCGTCTGGGCCCCCTCTCCTGTCGCGCCTTTGTGCCCACCTTCAGCTCCGATGCGCTCCTCGGCTGTTTCTTGTCAAGGGGCAATTGGCGTTTAGTAAACGGCCCTGGGCGTTTACTAAACAGCCCTGCCCTGTTTGAATCCTTCCCTGGGCGCGTTTACGAAACGTCTTCGCGTGTCGGGGTGGTCACTCCGGGGGTGGATTTGCTGTCCTCTACCTTGGACTCAAGTCGCCGCTGACCAGCAAGAATGTGGGGCTCAGGGGTTCCAGGGTCGGCCACGTGTCCTCCCAAGCACCACCGAGGTCGGTCCGAGCATGATTGGCCAATCTGTGTAGCGACGTTTCCTGTCGTTCTTCTCGTCCCCCGATCTTGTCGGGGGCGGCCAAGAGGGGGGGGGGGGGGGGAAAGGATGGGGCGTGTGGGTGTTCATGCCCCCATGATCTCTGCCACAGTCCATTGCCCCCGCTTCGTTTTGTGACAGCCTCCGCCGGCCCCCCACTCGGCCGCGCTCGTGCCCTGGGCCATGAGTCCTGACCTCCTCGCTCTTGGATGTCACCCCTCTTGGGCGCAGCAGGGGCGCCGACCGGGCCAGCCGCCAGAGAGGCTCAGGGCCGACCTCCGCCCCAATGCTTCCCGAGGGGCGGTGGGAATGCCCCCGAGCGCGGAGGTCGAGGTCACGGAGCTCAGCCCTGCAGCCAATGGCTTCCGCGAGATCCCCAGAGCCTCCTGCACCCCCTGCGCTCCCCCGCCTCGCCGAGGCGCCCTGCTCCG